GTGTGTGTGTGTGTGTGTGTGTGTGTGTGTGTGTGTGTGTGTGCGTGTGCGTGTGCGTGTGCGTGTGAGTGTGCGTGTGTGCGTGTGTGCGTGTCGTGCGACAGACATGGGCATACATGATGGTGCCGAGCACGTTGGTCTGGGACGAGGTGACGACGGGGATGCTGCCTTCGACGCCCTTACGGAAGAAGTCGACCGTCCACAAGATCACGATCGCGATCAACGACACCACAGCCGCTACGATCGCGGTGCGTGTCGTGTCGTGTCGTGTGTGCGTGTGTCGTGTCGTGTGTCGTGTCGTGTGGCATGTGGCGTGTCAGCAGAACGCGGGCGAACAATGGAGGCGGCGGAGAAGAGGGCCAATTCACCTTCTTGGACGATGATGTTCTTGTTGAGGTTGAGGTAGCCGAGGGGGGCCACGATCAACAGAATCACGATCATGCCCAGCGATAGCACGTACGACTGCGCACGGCAACGTCAGGTCGGCAGTACACGACACGCGTCGCATACGACACGCACGGCAGCACACGACACGCACGACCCCACGTATCACCGCACACGACACGCGACACACAACACGCGAGGCACGTACGTCGCCGAAGGGGGTGATGTCCTTGCCGGCGGTCTCGACGCACGTCCACCCGAAATCGGGGTAGAACTCCACCGCGCAGGTCGCCTTGACCGCCACGAACGCAAAATCCAGCGTCTGCGCACACGCACACACAAATCATCAACAACGCGCGCGCGTGTGCGGTGCGTGTGTGTGCGTGTGCGGTGTGTGCGTGTGCGTGTATGTGTGCTGTGCGTGTGTGCGGCATGAGTGGAGGGGTACCTGCGCGGAGACGATGAGGGAGGCGATGATGAGCGACAAGAGCGAGACGATGAGGATGAGCAGCACGATCAGGTAGAACCACCGCGGGAAAAAGAACTTCACAAGCGTCGTCAGCTCCACCTTGCCCTGCACACCGCACACGCCCAGCGCACACACCGCACCAGCGCACACACACCACCGCACACGCGCGTGCGTGAGATCGCGTGTGCGACGCGCGAGTGCGGTGAGGGGCGAGAGAGAGAGAGACCTGGAAGCGGCTGTTTCCGGGCACGAGGGCCATGGAGTGAACGAGGAGGAGGGACGAGAGCAGGCACACGGCCCACATGAACCCCACCGCCACCAGCGGCGTCACCCACCCGGCCTCCTGCACCACCACCGGAATCGACACAATCGCTGCATGCACACCGCACACGCACACGCGCGCCGCACACGCGTGAGGGATGAATGACACACGCCGCACGCGCGGGGAGAGAGAGAGAGAGCCGAACCGGGTCCAGTTATGGAGTTGATGAGGAGACACACGCTGCCGAAGGTGCCGATCTGTTTGTCGCCGTCGAGTTCGGTCGCGGGGCTGGCTGCTCGGCTCCGGCGCTGCCAGAAGGCCCACCACGGGCGGCCACCACCGGACTTGAGCGTGTCGTCGACGACCAGGAGCGGTCGGCCCTCGCCGCCGCCGGCGCGGGTAGCGGCTCCATCTTGTTGTGGTTGATGAAGATGATGATGTTGCGTTGAGTTCTCGGCTTCACCACCACCAAGATTTTTTGCGTGTCGGTAGTTGTTGATCGACATGATGGACCGAGGAAGGAGAAGTCGCCAGTTTTGAGGGTGGTGGTGGTGGAGGGGGAAGGAGTGAAGTGATCCCGATCAAGATTGAAGATGACGGTGAGGCTGTTGATGAACGAGATTGGTTGAGAGACTGTCTGACCAAATCCTACGTAAAATCGTTGAGATTTGAATCTCGACGATGATCGGGATGACGATGATGAAGAGGAGAACGAGGAGAGGAAGAGGAAGAGGAGCGCAATAAAGCAAAGGGTTGGGGAAGTGGTGCGGCGCCGGGCTTGTCGTGCGACTTTTCCTGAGCGGCGCGTGCCAGTTGGCCGCAATTAAAATCGGGCCACCAACCACGAACGACACCAACGAAGAGACACCTGGCGCGAGTGCAGTCGTGTGCGCGTGTCGTGTCGTGTGGTGTGTGTGTGTGTGTGTGTCGTGCGCGTGTGTTGTGTCGTGTGTGTGCGAGTGCTCCAATAAATAGGCCTCTACTATAGTTCGACCGGTGGAGGTGTACATCGCAGCGCCGCCACCACCTTCCATTGCTCACTTCTGCCGCAGCTTCGCCTCGATCTCCGCTTTCTTGGCCAGCCTGCCAAGTCCACACACGCGCGCTCGATTGTGAGCCTCACCGTCGCACACACCGCACACACCGCACACGCCACGACACACCACGACACGACACACATGTGCGTACGCGTATTCGGCGTATCGGGAGCCGCTGGTGGTGGTCGTGGTCGTGGCGGCGGGTTGCGACGCTCCGGGCTTGGCGCCGGCGGCGGGTTCGCCCTGGTCCCACTTGCTCCGCGGCCGCTTGGTGCCCTCGACCACCTTCACGATCGGCCGCGGAATCCCAAGGCCCACCGCCGCCGCCGCGCCGCCCGGGACCACCACGCCCCCGGCCTGCAGCCCCGCCGACCCCGCTCCCTCGCCCGTCGTGAAATCGATCGCCGTACGATCTGCCGCACACGCACCACCGCACACAAGACACGACACACACCACCGCACACGCACGACACGACACGACACGACACAAAAGGTGGTGAGCTAAAGTGATGTAAGTGGGGTGGTATGGGTGGTGGTGGGGTGTACTCTGCTGGGCGGCGGCCTTCTGGCGCTTTTGGCGCTCCATGACTTCAGCGGCCTCGCGCCGGATGGCGGCCGGGTCGAACAGCTCCTTCGGGTAGTTCGACCCCGTCTCGTCGATCCCTGCGCAACATTTATTAATTATTATTACTATTATTATTATATCCCGCATTGTGCGGTGTGTGCGGTGTGTGCGGTGTGTGCGGTGTGTGCGTGTTACGAGGTGGAGAGGTGGTTACCGCAGTGGGAGACGAGCCAGTTGAGCATGTAGGGGTTCTTGAAGTTGCGCGCGTGCCGGATCTTCTCGTTGATGCTCTTGGCACGGCCCTCTCTTCGCAGCCGATGGAACTGAACGATCTTGCCCTGCACCACCGCACACGCACACACGACCGCACGCACCACCGCACACACCGCACGCGAGTGAGCTCACCGCAAGCAGGCCACGGAGACGAGTGAGGGATATGTAAGTGAGTGAGTAGTACCTGAAGCGAGGCATCGGGTGGTCGTGCAGGTCGTGGTGGCAGCATCAACTCCATCAACGATCGGCCATCTACAGGTCAACGATAACGTTAATTAAAATAAAAGAAAGTGTGATTTAATTTGATTACAAATCAGTGATTTGAACAGAAATGAAGCGCACCTCTGGTGTAGAAGGACTGATCCTCAAAATCGGCCTTGTGATCTTCTTCCATTCTGCTCTCCTCGGCCTCCTCGTCTTCATCTCTCGCTGCGCCGTTCTGGTCTTCTTGGTCATCTCGCTGCTCCTCACCTTCCGCTACGCGTCGCCGCTTGTGGGGCGATGTAGATCGCTCTTCACCTTCACCTTCTTCGACGTGATCGTAAGCGACCAGTCCGCCCTCCTCTTTCTTCTCTTCCTCTTCCTCCTCTTCGTCCTCCGTATGGTCGTACGAGAGCCCCAACAGTCCGCTCATCTTCTCTCTTCTTCCAACAATCACCTCCTTGCCGTTGGCCCACCTTCCGTGTTTGGCGCGTGGCTTTTTCTCTTCTTTTTCCTTTCCTTTTCTTCACTCACTTCTTTTTCTCTTCAATTTCTTGACGCCAGTTACCCGAATTCATTTCCCTTTATTCATTGGGCGCCTTTTTCGAAAAAGAGGGGACAAAACAAAAGGGGAGGCCCAACAAGGGAGCACTACCAACATAGATGAAGCGCAACTTCAAGGCCACGTACATCCCGCCATCTTCGCCGGCGCCTGTGTCGGCACCCTCGTCGTCATCGTCGTCATCGTCGTCATCGGGGCCTGCTGCATCGTGCGCGAGTGATGGCGAGAGCGTCATCAAGTTCTACGGCGCACGTAATGCCAACGGCTGCTTCTCCAACTTCTCCGCCCACCCCATTCTCCTACGAGGCAAGCAGTGGCCGGTACACCTAACCTTCAATTTTTTATATTAATAAATATAAACTAATTAATAAACAAACTAACAATGTTGTATTAACATTGGAACGTGCAGACGACTGAGCACTACTTCCAGGCGCAGAAGTTTGCAGGTATGAATGCACTCCTGATGACAAGGCGCCACGGCAACTGATGATGATATATATCGCAACATTACTCCAGGCACGCCCATGGAGGAGACGATCCGACTCGCAGACACGCCGGCACGGGCCAAGAAGCTGGGCCGCAGCCACAAGGCCACCCGACGCGCCGATTGGGAAAAGGTATGTCCTGCGTTTTGATTGGTTGGTAGCGTTTACAGTGCTAACCAACCACAACAACCGCAGGTGAAGGATGACTACATGTACAAGTGCGTGCTGGCCAAGTTCAGCCAACACGTCAGCATCCGACGAACGCTGCTCGACACCGGCGACGCACTCCTCGTCGAACACACCTCCGCTGGTACTTACGAACTACTCGGATCGGACCTATTCAAAAAACAATGGTGTGGGGCTGATGTGGGACACGTGTCGTGCGGGCTGCAGACAGCTACTGGGGCGATGGCGGCGATGGGTCGGGCAAGAACATGCTGGGCAAGATCCTCATGCGCGTGCGCGACGAGCTGCGCGGACAACAGGAGCCGACCAACAAAGCCCAAAAGGCCTCACGCGGCACGCTCGTCAACAAGCGTAATAACGACACATAAAAACTATGATCATTCCTCACATTCCAGTAGTGACTATTGCCTTTGTCAAGCTGATGATTGTTTTCTTCAGTGATCTGGTGCTGGATGACGATGATGATGGGCTCTAGTAGGGATTGGCCTTCTTGAAGGCGCGTTCGAGGAGGGCCACGCGACCTCGGAGCTGGGAGGAGATGAGGCCCGGGCCGGAGGTGGCCTCGTTCAGCTCCTGGGCCGTGTCGCGGTGGACCGACTGCGGCGAGGCCGAGTGGGCGAGCGGCGGCGGCAACGAGGAGGAGAAAGAGGACGGCGGCAGGGAGGGGTCGGAGGAGGGAAGGCGCAGGGCCTTGGGGAACTTGATGCGCATGATGCCGGTCGGCCACACCACCTGCATGTGCGGGAAGCGAGACATGAACCACACCTTGAGCGCGTACGTGAGCTCCATACAGCCTGCACGACACATACGACACGGCACACGACACGACCAACGACACGACACGACACATGACGCGCTGTCAGTCAAAAAACAACGTTGCGTCGCATCTTGATGTGATCAGAGAAAAGAACGCACCCCGCAGGTCGATGAAGTGCAGTCGCGGGCAGTGCTCCACCACGTACATGACGGCCTCGTTGCTGATCGGCAGGCAGCTCAATGTCAGCTGTCGACACACACACGAGGGTCAGCAATGGTCGAGCGCACGAGCGCACACACAGCAGACAAGACGTACTTCTTTCATGCCGCGGAGGTACTGGCCCAGCTTGAGCACGGCCGCCTCGCTGACCTTGCTGCAGCTGCCGATGTTGAGCTTCGTCTAATCATGGCAACACGCGACACACACACACATAACAGTGAGTGAGCCGACAGCCAACACAACACGCCCTATGTTGCGCGCCGTGTGCGGGTTTCCTGGGCACGCACCAGGGAGGGAATGGTGGAGAGCAACGACAAGGCTCGTGCGGACAGGAGGCTGCACTCGGCCAGCAGCAGCGTGTGCAGCCTCGAGTGGCACTGCGCCGCGCTCGCCGCCGCCGCCGCCGCAGTATCATCATCGTCGGTCATCTCCTCCTCCTCCTCGCCGTCCGCCGAGCTGGCGGTGTGGAGGTGGCTAGCGGCCAGCAGCTGGTGCCGTTTCCAGAGCTTGCGGTTCACGCCGTGGGCGCGCACGAGGGCCAGCAGCCCGGCGTCGCCCACCCGACGGCAGAACCGCAGGTCCAGCTCCTGTCGTGTGTGTGTGTGTGTGTGTGTGTGTGTGGTCACCGACAACCACGGAGACGTGAGCGGGCGCATGTCGAAGGAGAGCTGCAGGGGCTGTGGTCGCACCTCGGCGTGCGGCAGCGTGGCCAGGTTGACGAGTGCCTGCGAGGTGAGGTTTTCGCAGTAGGACAGCCGGACCACCTGCAGCATCTTGCACTCGGCGATCGCTTCTGTCGTTCGATCGCCTAGCGGCAGCAACGGAAGCGATGTGTGAGTGATCAGCCATTGTCGTGCGGTGTCGCGTGTGTCATGTGTGCCGTCTGTGTGTGCCGTCTGTGTCATGTCGTGTGTTTGGGGGCGGGTGTGTACCCATGTTGGGAAGGCCGGCCAGCTCGATCACGCGCAAAGCCGTCAGCTTGGGCAGATAATTGTACACGGGCGCTGAACTCACATTCTTACAATTGCTGAAACTGCACCGCCCGGGGAAAAGAAAGATAATCATGAGCGGCTGGTCATCTCCCAAGATTGGCCCGCAGTCAGTGTTGATTGTGTGTGTGTGTGTGTGTGGCGGAGAGCGTACTTGAGAGAGGTGAGGTTGGGACAATGCTGAGCAATCAGAGCGAGACAGGTCCCGGTGATGCCTCGCACGTTGGCCGCGCTCAGGTACTCCAGGTGGGGCAGCCGCTTGACCACCTCGCCCAGGCTGTTATCCTGAGTATGTGGAAGTCACCATTTAATGAGCGTGTGTGTGTGTCGTGTGTGTCGTGTATGCGGCGTACATTGAGTTCGGAGGAGCCGATGTCGAGCGAGGTGAGGGCGGGGTGGGGCACGGGCGGCTTGGCGACGAGGAGCTGATAGATGGAGACCAGCGTGTGCGCCTGGAACACGCGCGCGGTCCGCTCGGTCTGCGCGGTGAGGCCCGGCCGGTTGCCCGAGTTGTACAGGTCGAGCGTGCGCAGCCGCGGCATCGCGCCGGGCACCAGCGCGTGCAGCAGAATGCGGGAGAACGCGATCTTCTCGCAGTCGCGCGCCTTGAGCTCGGTCAGCGAGTGCGACATGCGCTTGAGCAGTTGCACCAGCATGCCGTCGGTCACGTTCTTGTTGCGCGAGAGATCGATCGCGTGCAGGTGAATGCCGCCGCTGCCGCCGGGCGCGGCTGACGGTAGGAACTGCTCGAGGCTCGCGTCGGACACCCGGTGGCAGTGCTTGAGGCACAGATGGGTGAGCCGCGGCAGCCGAGCGAACGAAGTGGTGCACACGTCGTTGGTGACGTAGTCGTTGGTAGTGAGGTTGAGGGACTCCAGGGCCGGGCAGCAGGCGGCGAGCCGGCTCAGGCAGTGGCCCGACACCTTGGTGTAGGCCAGGTTGAGGTGGCGCAGGTTGGGCAGCAGCCCGAGCGTGATCTCGGTGAAGTGCACCAGCGGACAGCTCTCGAGATCGAGCCACGTCAGCACAAACGCGCCCCTCGAAGGAGGCCGAGCGGCAGTCGCCTCTGCCTCCTCGCCCTTCTTTCCTTCGCTTTCGCTTTCGCTCTTCTCTTCACTTTCGTTTTCGTTTCCTTCTTCGCCGTCTTGTGATCCGCTGAGCCGCAACTGCTGCCAGACCCGCTTCTGGGTGAAGTGGTGGCTGGGCAGGTCCTCCTCGAGCACGTGGGTCACCATGGCGCAGTTCTTCAGGTTGAGCGTTGTCAGCCGCGGGCAGCGGTTGATCAGAATATCCACCGAGTTGCCCGTAATCGACGTGTGCGACAAATCGCAACTTTCCAGGCTGGGCAACGGCGGTTGTGTGTTGGCCTGTTGCGTGTGTGCGGTCGTGCGGTGTGTGTTGTGAGTGTGTGCGTGTGCGTGTGCGTGTGTGCGTGTGGGCGTGTGTGCGTGCATGGACGAGTCGAGGAAGGAGGCACGGTACCCGCAGGGAAGGCACTGCACGCCGGACCTTGAGTCGCTTGGGCTCGAGCACGTTGCGGGAGACGTCGAAGTACTTGCGTTGGGTCATCTTTCGCACGTTCACGAGGAACAGCTGCGCCGGCTCCTCGGTCATGACCCTCAGCTTGGTTCCCTGCACCGGTCATCCATGACTTTAGCAAGCGCTGGTGTTGTGCGTGCGTGATGGGTGTGGTGTGTCGCGTGTGTATGTGTGTGTGGTGTGGACCACGTGAATAGGTGTGTGTGTGTGGTGTGTGTGGTGTTGTGGACCATGTGAATAGGTGTGGGAGACACGGACCTCCTTTTGCCCGGTGGCGTGGAAGGACTGGTAGGCTTCCTCGAGCTTTGCAGTGTTGTCCAGCGAGAACTCCTTCCAGCCGGGCTGTTCCAATCGCAACGTGAACGGGTCCTTCCAGTACCACCGCACTACAATATTGGAAACATACGAGCAAAAGTTGAGCCGTTGCGCATTCGGTTACATGTGATGTTCTTCTGATGAGAGTTTATGTACCAGTGTCGTATCGTTCGCCAAAGAGCACTTGGAAGGTTCCATCTAAACGCACACGCACACACCGCACATGCACACGGAAATGACGGAAATGGTGAAACGGTGAAACGGTGACACCACGACTTAAGAAGAAGCGTAGAGAAGGCGGGAAAAGCCGGGAGGCATGTACCGGTGAGGTAGGCGCATCGGCTGAGGTCGAGCTGGGTGATGGCCCACGCGCATTCGGCGAGCACCAGCAGCGACCAATCCCGCAGCCAATGGTAGCCGGAGCACACCACCTTCTGCACCAGCACAGCAGGCGACCGTTCCTCCGCTGATGAAACGACAACGCGTTGTCAGCAAGGCGAGCATGTGTGCGGTGTGTGCGGTGCGTGTGCGGTACCCGGGAGGCGCGAATTTCGGAGCTGCTCGCGGTGCCCCAGGAGCTCGATGAACTGGTCCTTGAGGGGCGTGGACCAGCAGCACATCTCCAGGAACAGGTAGAGCTCGTTGGCCTCCAGGAAGCCCTCGATGAGCGACAGGAGCAGCTGCTGCTGTCGGGTGACCCCGCTCACGCTGTCGTCCTCGTCATGATGGTCGTGGTCGTGGTCGTGGTTCGACGCCGGCACCGGCAGCTTGGCGGAGCTGGTCATGACCACTTGGCTGTCCTCCCGGTCCATGATCTCGGGATCCAGAAGGCAGAAGAGCTTGGCCGCCTTCTTAAGCACGTTCACCATGCGGCCCGGCTTCTGGCACTTGGCGTACTCTGCCGGAATTCAAGATAGGCGCCAAATCAATAATAATAACAATAATAATAATAACTCAACGCCGACGTTTTCAGCCCTCCTCAGCTGCGCTTTGCAATTCGCACTACGGGAGCGTACCCAGGAGGCTCCGGATCTGCTCGAGGCGGAAGTGTTGCTTCTTTGCACTGCGCGGACACAATAGAATAAGAAGCTGTGTGTCATGTGTCGTGTGTGTGTGTGTGTGTGTGTGTGTGCGCGCGCGCGCGCGCGCGCCACGTGATAGGAGCGAGGGGAGGTGTACAAGTGATAGAACTCGGCGAGCGCTTGGTAGATCTGGCTCAGCGGGTAGTGTATGGCGGTGTGCAGCTTGGACTCCTCGACAAGTATGGGCACGAACCACTCCGTGATCCACACTCGATACTTCTCCGGCCGCAAGCGCAGCAATTCCGTCGTCTGGGCCGTTTGCAACGCGGTTGATCAGCGTACTTCCTTCTTGCGTGTGGGTGGGTGCCTTGATAACACGACGAGCAGAGAACGAGAGAGGACGGTGGCGCACCAAATGATAGATCTCGAAGACGCACGCGGAGCCCGTGTGTGGAAAGGCTGTCGCCATTCCTCCCTGAAGATTACGCGATTCAATGAGTCTAGTGAGGGGCAGGCGGGGAGGGGCCACGGTACGTACCGACATGAGGTGGGAGAAGTAGTGCTTGCGCGTGAGCAGGCGATAGTACTCCGTCATCGCCTCCAACCACAACACGATGCACTTCTCCAGCGCGCCACCTCGCTCTGTGGCGAAAAGTAGAACATCATCAACACAACGCCCGACACACGGCACGCGACACGCGACACGCGACACGCGACACACATCGAGAGGGATTGACCTACCTGACGAAGAGCGCGATACCGGCGGTTTGTTCAGCCCAGAGTTGTGCGAGTAGCGAAGCACGTTGGAGCGCGAAGGCGAGGAGCTGAGCTGCCCGGCCGACGCCATGCGGACCACGGCCGGCGACGGGGCCGCCGACGCCGTCTGACGCAGGTGCTGGTGCACGGCCTCGCAGATGACCAGCGTCGCCAGCACCTTCCAGTACCGCTCCGCCTTTTTCTTTTTCCTCGCGGCCGCCTGCGTTACCACATCTTGGTCGGATGTCGACAGCGAGGAATGCGACCTTGGCGGGAGCGGCGCGACGGCCTTCTGGTAGCACCTGCGCGCGATCTCGAGCAAGAGCGACACCAGCTTGGACGCCGGAACGCTCGTGCGGTGGCTCTTCCTGTCGTCGTCGTCATCGTCATCGTCATCTTCATTGTCGTCGTCATCTTCATTGTCGTCGTCATCTTCGCCTTCATCGTCCTCTTCGAACAGTCGGCCGACGTCTTGGCCGTGCTGGGCGTCGATGGCGAGGGCCTTCTTGAGCTCGTGGTTGGCCTCGAGAAACTTCTGGCGGATGAGCTCGTGCCGCTTCTGGCGCTGCTTGCCCTGATTGATCTTGTCGATCCGCTCGTTGGCCGACTGCTGGCCGCGGTCCTCGCTCGAGGAGCCGACCTTGCCCGACCCAACCTTGCCGCCCTCCTCGCGCTTGATGACGTAGCCGCCGCCGTACAGGAAGCCCAGCTTCAGCAGCACCTTGCCTGCATTTGCCGCGTCGACGTTTAATCTGCAAGCAAGCAGCAAAGTGGTGCAGTGGAGCAGCGGGCAGTACCCAGTTCGAAGTAGGCGGGGGAGAAGAGAGGGTGGACGGCGACCGAGCGCGCAAAGTGCTCGTAGGCCTGCAGCAGCTTGGCCTCGCGCTCCTGGCCTGGAGTAACAAGAGCCGACGCAATGTCAACAACACCGCACACGCACACACACGCCGCACACGCACTAACACCAGATCAAGTCGATGCGAGTACCTCTTTGGAGCTTGGCCTGCAGCACGCAGACGCGTCCCCATCGGTAGAGCGTGACGAAGTTGTTGGGCGCCGATTGGAGAGCCTGGACCGGTTCGCAGCGCCGGGTCAATCGCGAAAGCACAAATTAATAGAAAGAAAAGAAAAAAGGAAAAGGGGGTGGACACCTTTTCGAACTTCTGCGAGGAGAGCTCGAGCAGGCGCATCTGTTCCCGGCCTTTGCCCTTCTCACGGGCTCGCAGATGCAGAGCCTGGGCCTCGCTAAAGTCCACAATATTGAAGTGCTTCACCTGTTGTTCATGTTGTTCAGGCGTGTGTGCGTGTGTGCGTGTGCGTTTGTTTTTGCGTGTTGCATGTGCGTTGGTTTTTGCGTGTGCGTGCGGTGCGTACCGTTGAAGTGATACTCTCCACGTCGACAGGGACGAACTGCAAAGCGCCCACTCTCTCGTAAGAATCCATCACCAGCACAGGCGAGATGAGAAGGGAGGGCCGGGCGGGCGGCTTTGTACCTCGAAGTCGCTGGAGAGGGGCTCGGGTCCCTGCAGCAGGGCGTGGGTGTCCTTGCGCAGCGTCACGCCGCACATCTCGCTGATCCGCAACAGCAGCAGCTTGAGATCGACCTTGAAATCACCACGCGACGGCCACACAATTAATATCTTGACGCCCACATGCCTCAAATACCAAGGTAAAAAAGAGGGCCGTGTGCGCGTACTTCGTTGGCCAGGCACTGGGGGTGGCCCAGCGAGTAGCGGCCCTTCGACTTTTCGACGCTGTCGAGGCCCAGCGAGAACTTGTCCTCGAAGGCCTGCTTCCACGCCTCGTCCCAGAACTTGCTCTCTCGCTGCTCTCCCGGCGGTGCGGCACTGGCGCCGGCGGTGGTGGAGGTGGCGGTGGCGGTGGCGGTGGCGGTGGCGGTGGCGGTGCTGACTGTGGGGATCGGAGCGGCTGCGCCGACGCCGAGTCCCGTACGGCGCGACACCGGCCCAGCGCTGGCGGTGGCGCCGCCCGCATTATAGCCACCGACGGCCACGTTGTAGACGTCCCTTGCGGCTGTAGGTGGCGACGATGACGATGACGATGACGATGACGTGGCTTCAGCCGCCGAGTCGTCTGAAGGCTCAAAATTGTAGGCATCGATTGGTCGCGGCGGATTGGTCGTGGTAGTGGCAGTGGAGGAGGAGGAGATCGACGGCGGAGGCGAATACGGAGCGGAGAAGGCGTCGGTGACGTCGTCGTAGGAGCGCTCCTGCTCGCCCTGCGGGTTCACGTCGACGCGGTACTCCTGCACCCCGCGCAGAAGCGACGATGCCGGACGCAGCCCTGATGCCGATTCAGCTCTTGCGCGCGTGTCTTTCGTTTCCTCTTCCTTCTCATCGTCGTCGTCTTGCTGCTTTTCGTGGCCCTTCTTGTCGACGCTGCCGTTGCTCTGCGCGAGCGCATCGGTGAGCAGATCGTAGGCCAGCACCGCTGTTGGCGCCGGCGCCGGCGTCGGCTTGGATGGTGCGGCCGTCTCGTGGGGCGCGTGCGGAACCGCGTCGTACATGCCGTCGGCCCGCAGCGGCAACTGCGAAGTAGCTTCAGTCTTAGTGTCCCCCGATCCGCGGAGGATGTCGTCCGCAGAGATGTAGTTGATCTCTCCCTCCGGCTCTCGGCGCTGCTCTACCTGCGGCGGTGCATGCCGTTCAGGCACCTGCAGGTGTTGGGAGGGGGGCGCTGTGGTCGTTGACGGCGACCTCGCTAGCGATCGCTCTTTCGCGTCGCTCAAGAACTTGCGCCTCGACAGTGTTGAGGGCCGGCGCTTGCGTTTGGGGCCGGGGCTTGGCTGGTGCGCCGCGGCCGCGGCCAACCGCTTCGCCATGGCCTCCTCCTCGGCGCAGTCAGTGCACATGATTTCGTTGAAGAGGTCGACAACGACTTGAATCATCGATATCTCGCCGTCCACCTCGTGGTCGTACTCCTGCTCTTCATCAAACGTTTTTTTCTGTTCATCACCATCGTTGTCATCATAATCGCAACACACACACGACACACACGAAACACACACACACACCACGTTGTTAGCGATTCGCATTCGGGGTCATTCAGTTGCTCGGGGAGAGACCCACCTGCGCGGAAATTGTTTCCTTGGGCTTGAGGTATACACGAAACCGCTGGCGCAGGATCTGCTTCGCCATTCGCGCCACCATCTCCGTAAGGAGAAAGCTACGAAGTCCCGCATGACGCACCAGCGCTCGCACTCGGCCCTGAACCAGGAGATTATAAGCGATCACCGCACGACACGCACCAGACACACGGCAGCACACACGGACAAACTGCCTGTACGTACCAGGTGTCTGAGATTGATACCGGCTCGATGTATGTTCTGGGTGAGGTTGTACTGTCCGATGAGCGCTCGAATGTCCTTCCACTCATCGCCGTTCTTCTGCTCGGCCATGTCCATCCGCCGTTGGAGAATGCTCTGCGCAGAAATGAATGAAGCGTGTGAGAACAAACAATAAAGGTACACAATAGTAAGATCAGCAGGAGAACAGGCCCGAGCGCTACGTACTCTTCTCAGGGGCGAAAAATCGGACATGTCGCTCAGAGAGATCTCGTCGTCCTGCACAAAGCAGATGAATGAAGGTGAGTAAGGTAGTGTGGTGCACGGCCGTGTGCGGAAAAGAAGTGTACCGTGAGCGCAAAGTTTTCACCAAACAGGCGCACTTTCATCTCGCGCACGAAGTCGGGTACCACCTCCATGAAGAGCCTCTCGGTCGCGCGGCGAACCTGCGATGGTCGTACAAGAGACATAAGCCACCTAGCCACGTAAGTCGTGCAAGCCTCCGCGACGTACCTCGTTGTTGTTGTGTCGCCATTGCGGGTCAGGCCTGGCGAAGCCGCTGAAGGCGTCGCTCGACAGCGGAGTGTCGAAGCGCACCAGGAGCTCGGGTCGCAGCAGCTGAAACCAGATGCGGTGCGGATGTCCCTCCTCCGGAAACTCTGGCGGAAACACCTGCGGTCATACATGTACATGTATATATATGAGCAATTTACACAATTTACACAGATATGTGGAATGTGCTTGCATTGCGAGCGAGCGCATGTACCCTAGCCGCGTCGACAATATACAGACGGTCATCGTAGCCTCGGTGGACCTCGATGTCGACCGGCGCGTGCAATCGCGCATTACTCAGCCACGACCCAGCAGTCTGCGACCCAGAAAAATAGACATGTGTAGCAGCCCATGGGCTTACTGTAAGTGCGGTGGAACGAAGACAAAGTGCGCTCTTAAGAGGCAGAGGTTGTCGTACGTGTTCTTTGAGCCGAAGCTTCTCGGCGGCGAGCTTCATCAGCTGGTTGCACCGAGCGTCTTTGGTGAACACCTTGAGGCCGGGCTTGCCGGCTGGAGAACATTTGCGCTCTGTGTGAGTCTACGCGTGGTCAAGCAAGAAGCAAACGGTTTCTACGAACCATTCGCACAGCCGTAGATGATGGTCTCCTTGGAGATGGGCAGCAGGCTGATGGCGACCAACCGGAACCCGCGGTAGTCGATCAGCGCAACTGCGGCACCGTTGGACCCCGATTCGGTTCAGAGTTGATTGACATGTGCTCAGAAGAGTTGAAGGGGCAAGAGTGGCAAGGTACCGAGAGGCACGGTGAGGCCCTCTATGTTACAGTTGAAATAGTTGATGAGGCCCTGCAGTTCGTGTCCTGACAAAAGGCCGTGCATGAGATACAGCAACTAGTCGTCTTATTGTGGTCTGGTCTGAGAAGGGCTTCGACACACACGAGCGAGTGAACGTACCCGCAGCTTTCATCGCACCCTCCATACCACGATACATTGCAGAGGTGTCCGCTGCAAACTTGAACAGAATGCTGCACGAATAACAAACATCAGGCAATGAAGGAGAGAGTGTGTGAGCTATTGACAGTGGCAAGGCACAGAGCTGCTGTCAGAGAAAACGAGAGGGAGCAGACAGGGTTACCCCGAGCATATAAACTTTTCGCCACCAGCCTGACCGCCAAGAGCCACTGCGATTGGCACGCGCAGCAAACAAAGTGAGAGGTCAATAGCCAGCCACATTTGCAATTGTAATCAACAGCCAGTGCGGTGAGTCCACAAGCGATGAAGAGATATGGTGGCACCTGGCTTTAGTGTCTTTTGATGTAGTGGCAAGTAGTACTCCTCGATAATGATGCGCCCGTACTGCACGAAAGAAAGCACACACGCTGATTAGTTTACGACATCTCCACTGTAGTCGAGGCTTCCTAGTACCTGCTCGGCGGTGAAGACGAAGTTTTGCGCGAGGTTGGAGAGCTTCTTGAACTTGGCCACCGAGTCAGGCTCCTGCAGCACTCTTTGGAACCGCTCGTTCCACGCCCTCGACAGCTCCACTTTCCTCTGCGTGCCACACGACACACGACACACGACACACGACACACGACACACGACACACCCATCAACGATCACATCACGTAGTCTCTGAGCACGAAAGTAGTAGAAGGCAGAAGAAGATAACAGCTGTGTAGCGCTCTACCTGGAGAGCAGCCAGCAGGGAGAGACGACGCGGGAGGTCCGCAGCGATGGCAGCGTGGATGAGGGCCTCGCGTAGGCCCGTACCGCCGCCAGCACCGGCCAGGTGGTGCGCGCACAGCTGCAGCAGCAGCGCCTCGTCCTTCTCGGCCGCCACAAGCCGTTTCACCTCCTCCAGCACTCGCTCGGCCTCGTCTTGTGGTGTCAGCGGCTGCGACTGCGGCTGCGGCTGTGGCTGGGCTTGAGGCGTCGAAGTAGTGGTGGAGGTGCTGGCACGAGTAGAGGATGAAGATGAAGCACTGTGTAATGCACTACGAAGTCGCGACCTGCCCAACGGAACAGGACGAAGTGGTTGTGGCACGGCGTTGGGGGTTGCAACTCCCACATCAGCATCTGCTTGCTTCTTCATGCCCGTTCTTTCTTTGTCGCTGTAGTAATCTCCAAAGTTGTGATTGTAGCCGCTACTCGCATCTTGCGGCCGGGCAGCAGATGGAGGTGGTGTGGTGGTTTTCTCGTGGTGTGGGCAGGTCGATGCGTCGCCTAGCGGCTCGCCGAGTCGCGGCGTAGTCGATACGTAATCGTGATCGACCGGGTACATCTTGGGCGAAGAAGGAGCGGAGGAGGTAGAACCGGACAGGTTGATGATATAGGACGACCCATACGACGACACCAATCCGCCCCGCCCCCTCCCCTTCTGGTCCTCCATCTTTTCTTTCCCTCTTTTTCTTTTTGTCATTCAATTATTATTAATAATAATTGAATGACAAAAAGAAAAAGAGGGAAATACTTTTATATTGTCGACTTTAGGAATTCTAATCATCCTGTGCGCTGCTCTCCCAGTCTTCGGGCGGGTCCACGTCTTCGCGCTTGACGTGACGGTGCGAGCAGCAGTCGCCCGGCGGACCCGGGAACACCATCTCCGGCATGTGGCGCAGGTAGAGGGAGCGCGGCTGCAGGCCCAGCTCGGTGAGCTCGGCCAGGTGGGCCTCGACGACCTCATCGAAGGTCTCCAGCGCGCGCCGGGCGTCGTCGACGGTCGCCATCTCGACCACCGCGCAGCTGCGGCGGGCGCCGTCGGGGTTCTTGACCACCTCCACGTCCTTGGGCACGAAGCCCAGCACCTCGAAGGCCGACTGCACCACCGACTCCTCCAACCGCTGCGGGATGCCTGCATGTTGTCGACAACACCTAGTCAGCGCCACACGCACACGACTCACACCGCACGACACACGACACGCACGCGCACAGAAGAGAAGTGGTACCTCCAATGAGCAGGGAGCGGCCGAGGGGAGTGCTCTCCTCAGCCGTGCCAAAGGTGCCGGGGCTCCCCGGGCCGAAATAGGGCTGCGTGTGCAACTTGGGATCGCCTGCGCGAGTGAGTGTCGTGACGTGTGTGTGTCGTGCAGGTGTGCGCGTGCGGTGGTGCGTTGCGTCAAGTTAGTGTGCGGCCACCCAGGCAGGGGTGGTGGGGAGGGAGCGTGAGAGGAAACGGAACGGAACGGAATGGAAGAGTAGTACCGAGGGGGATGATGTGGGCCACCTGGAATGGGTCGCCCTTGATGCGATTGAGGATGTAGATCTCCTTGAGCATGAACTTGATGGGTTTCTTTTGGAGTTGTTCGTTGTAGTGGTTCACAACGTCGTGCATCAAGCTATAGTTCTCCTGCTCTTGCACGACACGACACGACAAAAGACACATCATTTGCATGAGTGCGCCACAAAAAGCGTGCTGGAGGGCGGGCTCGTGTGTGTACTTGGCGGAACTTGCGGAGGGTGAAATGAGGCACGAACTGGAGTTGCCCAGCCCCCCTGCCCTGGCCACGAGACAGCAAATCCGAGCCTGCAGAGGAGCCGTCAGCAATGTATCACACACACACACACACATCGGATCATCGTCGTCGTCACTCGCACGACACGCACGCACACGCACACGCACCACCGCACACGCACGACACGCACAAGACGTGTGAAAGGAAAGCAGGTGACATACATTGAGGGAAGATCCTAAGAATGGCACCGACGAGACTTACGATGCTGCTCTCATAATCAGGTGCCAAGATGACCGTCGTGCTCTTGTCATGCCGCAAATAACTCACCCTACACACGACGACACACGACGACACACGCCACACAAGACATACACGCCACACACATAGAACACACACAAGCGAGCGTGTCGTTAGAAGGGGAAGGGCAAAGGAAGGTGGAGGTGGTGGATACTCGCTGAGGACAACTTCGAAGGGCTCGATGTTGCGAAGGACCGGGGTGAGCAGTTTGACGGCCTCGCCGTAGTGCTGGGGCATCACGAACGGCTCCACGAAGGAAATGTGCGGGCCGCACCTGAGCGACCGCAACACACAAGAATGTCGACTCAGCCTCGCTCCCATGGCGTACAGGCATGCAGGTGTCTCGTGTGCCGCGTGTGTCGCGTGTGCCATGTGTGCGCAGTGAGGGAATGAAGGTTACCGCGCTTCGCTTACGTGGAGGGTGCGAATGCGTTGCATGAACTCCCACTGGTCTGCGCAGACGAGCGAACGAGGGATGACGTCAGCAGCACGCGACCTTTTCAAGTAGGTCGTTTCGTTTTGTAGCCCAATCGACAGGAGAAGACGAACCTCGCGGAGGCACGATGTTGATAACCGATTGGGAGGTGGGCGACTTCTCCATCTTGGCGCCCTCCGTGACCACCGGCTGGATCGCCATTTTGATTCGGAACTAGTTCGACCATTATCATCATTGTGTGTTGTGTGGCGTGGCGTGTGGCGTGTGTCGTGCGATAGCGTTAGCCATGGCCACCGGGCTTGGATGTGAGTTATACCTCATCGAGGGAGAGGCCCATGGCTCGAGCGAGCTTGATCTCCAGCTTCTCCTTCTTCTCCGCCCATCGCATGGTGCCGAATCTTATCACCATCCACCGCGGTGAGACACACGACACACGACACACGACACACAACGCACGACACGAATATGTGGGTACCTTTCGCGTTCCATGCTGCTCCTGACCCTGGTCAGCTTCGCCTGCAGTCGGTCCACCAGACCTGCGCGGCTCAGGTTAGTTGACAATGCCCAGTGCGTTCTTTGTCGACGCCGGGCGTATGTACCCTGTTGGTAGACGGCCGGGTCGTGCTTGGCCTTGTAGTGCCGGAACATGTGCGTCCGCTTCTCGAACATCTTTGTGCACTCCTGACACTTGTAGTGTTTCACACTCTGTGCGTGTGCGAACACGCGAGACACCAGTTGAGAACCGTGTGTGTGTGTGTGTGTGTGTGTGTGTGTGTGTGTGTGTGTTATGTGCGGTGTGTGTGTGTGTGTGTTGATGGCACGGCGGGGAGGGGGTACGCGGTGGTGGTGCGAGAGCTGTTCGGTGGACATGAACGCGCGGCCGCAGCCCTCCATCTCGCAGCAGAACTTGGGCCGCGGCCAGTAGAACGGTATCGCCTTCGCGTATTGCTTTTTGTAGCACCCTACGTGCACCAATCAGAAGAGGTGAGACGATGCGACACGACACGACCAACGACAGGTGTGCGTGTTGCATACATGGCGTGGAGGTTATCCCCTCCTCCTTGAATCGTTGGTCGCGGAGGTGTTTGTCCTTGCAGTGCTGCCGCATCATGTCCTCGTTGCGGAACCTGCTGCCGCACTCCTCGCACCTGACGTGCAGCTTCGTGTCGCTGTGCGCCTTCAGCGCCTGCTCCGATCCGAACGACTTGCTGTGTGCGTGTGCGGCACGTAAAAGCATTCAAAACACACGTGTGCGGTGGTGTGTGTGCGTGTGCGGTGGTGCGTTGCGTTGTCACCTGCACTGAGGGCATCGATGGGCCGGGCTGGCGGCCTCGGGTGAAATGTCACTGACGGGCGGGCGGTGTAGGCCCTTGGCCCACATGTGGTGGATCAGCTGCTGCCCGCTGCCGAAGCGCTGTACGTGACCACCCCCAACCCACCACTGGTCAACAAAACTCGGCGCATTCCACGCATTCTCTCCCCGTGTGGCCGGCGGCAGTACTTTGCAGGTCTGGAAGCAGCCGAAGGGCTTGGCCAGCTGGCAGCTGGCGAACCGCATCTCGCGCCCGTTGGCACCGACCGTGTAGTTGGTGAGCTCGCCCATCATCGCCACCGTCACCGTCACCTTGTACCGGAACGCGTTGCCGTGCGCTGTGTCGTGTTGTGTGCGGGTCGTGTGCGGGTCGTGCGGTGGGTTGTTAAGGAGGCGGCTGTACGGAGTGTGGCGTGGCATGGTGGTGCGTACGATCGGTGAGGCCGATGCGCATGGCGGCGCCCTGGCGAAGGCGGAACAGGCGGCCGAAGAATTCGGCGACCGATGGCGACGCCTGGCGCTCGGCCTCGAGTCGCTGCCGCCGCTCGCGCTCCTCGGCCTCCACCACTTCAAGCTTCTCTTTGTTCTTTTTCAGCTTTGTGTTCATAAGATCATTTACCCTGTCATCACCATCACCATCATCAGCACGACACGACACGCGACACGACACACGCACGCGCGTGATCACAGAGAGTTTACCGTGGGAAGTGGAAGTGCTGCTTGCCGTGTCGTTTTCGCCGGGCCTCTTCGGCTTCGACCCGCCCGCGCATATCAGCCGCACGCCGCCTGCACTGGACATCGATCGCCATCGCCGACGTGTCCCGGTTGCGCTGATCAGCCACGGCGCGCGCCATCCACACCTGGTGCTCCTGCCCGCCGGCCGATGATGATGATGACGTGGCATCACCTTCGGCCTCCAGGCCCTGCTGCACCGGGAACCGCCACTCGACAGCGGCAGCGGCGGCGGCGTTGACGCCTTCGATGAAGCGTAGCACGACGCGGGGCGGCGGCGGCTGCTCGTCGGCAGCGGAGGCGGTGGACGGGTCGGGCTCGTCGCCGTGGTCTATGTCGTCCGGCAGATCCGTACGACGCGAGATGATCGCGCTGATCAGGTAGCTGCCCGTCGTCGGCACTAGCCACACGCCTGGGAAGGACGTCAACGAGAGTCAATAAAGAATGATGTTGGCCGTGTATCGTTGGTCGTGTTGTGTGTGTGTCGTGCGTCGTGCGTCGTGCGTCGTGTCGTGCGTGTGCGGTCGAGTGCGGTGACAGGAGGGAGGTGCCTTTGTCCATGAACTGGCGACACTCGGCGGAGGTGGAGGAGATGGAGGCGTCCAACGGGAGTGCGTAGACGTTCTCCAGCACGGCCGCAAAGTCGCGCAGCCACCGCACGCGCTCTCCGCCGTGATCAACGCTGTCGTCGTCGCCGTCGGCGTCGCTGCCATGACGGGTCGATGGAGGCGGCAGCTGGGCGGCGTGTGACAGCAGCACGGACTGGGGTACCTGCGACCTCTTGGCGTAGTCGGCCTTCATCTGCTTGCGCACCTCGTCCAGCTCCTCCACCTGCTCGTTGTTGGCCCGCGGGTTCATCTTCTTCCTGTTCCCGTTCGCGCCCTTTCCTCGCCTGCCCGCTCCCGACATCTGTGGTGCCGTCTCCTGCTGATCAAATCGGTCTGTGTAGCGTAAACAAAAATCAAAAAGATCTATCTTTGAATCGAGGTGAGGGATAGGGGCAAGACAGGGGCATCGTGGTACCGGCTGCGTGGAAGGTGGTCAGGCTCTCAGAGAACGAGCGTCAACGGGCGCTGTTCCTTAAGGAACGCTGTTTTTCTCTTTCGGTTTCTTTTGCATTTCTCGTGGTATTTTCTGTGAACGCATTCTTGGCGTTCTCCTAGCTTTGGGCTCAAGAATTTACGAAATTTGTGGCTGTTTTCCGTGTGTCTCCTCCGCCGGAATTGCTGCGAAATCGCCGTATGGCCACATGTGGGCAGATGCCTCATCTCGGTGTCCCCTCTACAGCGCCTTTGCGGCAAAGAGTCTGCACCCGCTTTTCTCCCCTCAGCTGTTGGTCTGGAGCAAGGCTCTGCTGCCACCTTCATCGTCGAGCTCTCTCTGTTCTTCGCCTCCGCCCCGCCTCTTTACTTCCACCTCGTTGTCTCCTGCCTCTGAGTCTCTACTGTACAGCCCCTCCTCTACTCGAAGCCCCCCCTCTCAAAGGTGTCGCGCAACAACGAGCCTCTACTTCGTCGTTGAGCCCAGTCTCTACTTCACTTTCGCCTCTTCCTCTACTTCCTAGACACAGCGCCATCACCATGCAGCAGCTGAACACTCTACACAGCCCTGCCACCGCCACTACAACATCACACAGAGCCACCAAGCATGCTCCACCACCTCCTTCAAGAGAAGAAAGGGAGGAGGTGGAGCGACTCCTCATCAGGGAATGGGCCTTGTGGGCATGGATTTGCCGGGTCATTGGTGGCGAGGACGAAGAGGACGTGATGGAGCGGAGTAGTGCGGGCCTGTGCGGTCTGCTCAAGGACGGAGAGCGACTGTGCCGCCTCATCGTGACCCTGCGCCCGTCTGTGGTGAGCCCAGCCACCGCCCACCTTCCTCCCATTCTTCAGCATCGGGCGCGACTTCGTCACTTCCTCAACGCCTGCACCTCTTTCGGCATCCCTCCCCACCATCAGTACGCCCCTTCTATTGCCGGCAGGTTATTTTGTTTTTTTCTTTTCTGGTTTCTTTTTATTTTGCCTTTGGCCCTGACGAGCAGGCTTGGCGAGCAGGTTCACTGTTGACGAGCTGTACTACGACCACAACCTGCCCAAGCTCCTGTATGCCCCCCCCACATAATTTTTGCTACGGAAGTCTCATTCCCCCTTGGCTTTAAGTGCGTGCCTAGAGCATTTGGAGAAGAAGGCAGCGGCCGAGGGCTGTCGAGTGCGTAGCCCCAGTGCCGACCAGGTCCTGAGACAGCAGCTGGTGCAATGGGGCATCAAGCAGCGCATCCCCTTCCTCGGCCCCGCGCACCGCCTCCGGTATGCACCACTAAACGCACCCAGCCTGGTCGGTGGTGGCTCACACCGGCTGCCTTTCGTCTTACAAACAACAGAGCATCGAAAATCCTGGCCAAGTGGCCGCAGACAAGGAAAGCCTCGATGAGCGGCGGCTCCTCTTTAGGTCTGCCCCTGTTCAGCAGCTTTGCGGGGTCGGTGTCCGAGGAGCGTACGGCCGCCGCCATCAAGATCCAGTCCGTGTTCCGCTCGTGGCATGCACAGCGCGTTTATAACGCCAAACGTGCGTCTCCCTCTACACGCGTATCACGAATCAGAGCTAACTTGACAATTTATCGTGGGGGTGCCGTGCGTCGTGTGCGGTCACGCGTGTCGTGTGTGTGTGTGTGTGTGTGTGTGTGTGTGTGTGTGTGTGTGTGTGTGTGTGTGTGTGTGTGTGAACAGTGCGGAATGCTCGGCATAGGGAGAAGATCGCGCGGGAGCTGTACGACACGGAGAAGGAGTATGCTCAGAACCTCCAGATCCTTATCCAGGTCTACCTGAAGAAGATGCACACGTGGGCAGAAAATGCGCCCATGTCAGGCATGAAGGCACTCTACGGGGTACATTGCGCATCCACACAACAAATACAATGTTTAAAGTGATCTGACATGTCGATTATATATTATCATATGATATCGTTATACAGGACATCAAGGTGATCCACGGCTACACGGAGCAGGTGTTGGCCCAACTACGACCTCGAGTGTACGCCTGGGGACCTCATCAAGTACTCGGAGACATATTCCTTCAGTTGGTACGTACCAACTGTTGAGCTCTCAGTAAACACGTGTGACTAGACGTTAGCTTTGATCATCATTTCTCATCTGCTGCTGGCCGCACATTCCAGGGATTCTTCCTCAAGGTCTACACCCAGTACGTGACCAACTACAGCAAGGCTACGAGGGAGCTAGCCGAACGAAAGAAGAAGTCCACACGTTTCGCCCAGTTCCTCGATGTACTCGCACCACACACCACACACGACACACCACACACACCACACACCACACACCAACACTGACCATCTCTCTGCGTGGGGTGAGCAGGCTCCCTGGTCGGTGGATCCGGCCGCACTGCTCTTCAGGGACAAAATCGGGTCGCTGGGCATCCAAAGCTTCCTCATCCAGCCTGTACAAAGGTGCGTCGCCCGGGGGTGAGCCCCTTGACGACAACTGGTCGTATGCGTTGCAATGCGGCATCTGGCTGACATTTTACGCCATCTTCTCACCGCCAGAGTTCCTCGGTATCTGCTGCTGCTCAACGCCCTGCTCAAGCGCACTGACCCAGACCACAAGGACTACAACAACATCCAAAAGGCCGCCCAACAGGTTTTATCACTTCCTCTCCCCTCGGTGTGCTTGTGTGTGCTGAAGTCTCACTCGTCGCTGTTTGTAATAACACACCTGTACAGGTGAGCCAAGTCGCGGACTACATCGAGAAGAGAGCCCGCGAGAGCGAGAACATCGCCAAGGTCATCGAAATCCAGAACCGGCTCCACCCCAAGCTGCAGGTCAGCGGCCGCTTTCGTACCACCATATTCTCTCCAACTTCCGTCTGACACGACACGACACACAACGCGATACACAACAGATTGTGCAGCCCAATCGGAAGTTTGTGCGAAGTTGCCGCATGTCGGTGGAGATCTGTCAGGCGTGGGGCGTGCCGACCCCGGCGACCCAGGGCGGCGGCGCCGGTCGTGTGCCCCCCTACGCCTACCCTTCCACCACCACCGCCGCGAGCGACGGGAAGAAGTCGCCCCGGAGGCGACAGCAGGGCCTGCCCAAGAACTACGAAGTCTTCCTTTGCAGCGACCTGCTGCTCGTCGCCAAGCCCAAGGACCCCCACAACCCGGACACGCCGCTCAAGCTACGCGCGGCCTACGACATCACCCAGCTCCACCCCAGCGCCGACATGAGCGGTACGTCCAGCATCACACGTGCGTGTGCCGTGTGCGGTGGTTTCTGATGGTGGGTTGGGCAGATCACCTGAGGTTCGCACTCGTGTCGGAGAAAGGCCAGACGGTGGCGCGCTTCACAGCGGCGTCCGCGACGGATCGTCACAGCTGGCTGACCGACCTGGCCAAGCTCAAGATCACCCGAGAGATGTCCCGCAAGCACCGAGCCGGTACCACACACAACACCCACACACGCCTGTGCTCGTTCGTGTCGACTCGCATATAATGATGGTGATGGCCAAACTGGATGGCGCCGGTAATCG